ATTGAGGAAAAGAGAAATAATATAGAGTATTAGTATTTTAAGGGTATTAACAGTTGTTGAACACCACTATGAAATGCAAAGAGCTGAAATCTTTTGCAATCAAGTCAAAGTATTTTGATGAAATTAACCTAGTCTCAACTCATTCTCCCACACATCCCTGCCCACATAGACACATACACACTATACACTCTATATGCCAACAAAACCGCAAGGGAAAAAAATTAAGTAAGCAAATGTATAAACAATTGTCACTTTTAAACTTTAAGCTAATTTACTGAGTGACTGATATAAATCAACATTACCAAGACCTAAGGAGATGTTCTACTGAAACTAATTATATGCTTACAAGCAGCAGAAAACAAAAAGACAAAAGCATTAGAATATTTACCATTAAGACTGGTGTTATGTGTCGCTAAAAAGAACAGCTTGCTGTTATCATGGCAGCTATAGTAAGTAACCCACATTTGCTGGAGACTCCCTACCAAAAAATAAAAAATAGCATTTCCCAATACAACAAAAGTATACTGCCCATAATTAAAGATATGCACATACATCTTCTGGGAAAAATGTTCAAAAACTGGCTACAAATCATACCCCCCAAAAATTTAAGATACAAGAAATAACTTTCACTTCTTTTTGGAAAAAAGTATACATATATAAGTTTTATAGATAATAATTAAAGTTTTATCTTTATCACTCTGATACAAATGAGTAAAAAATGTGACAGCTATTCAAACATGTGCACACCTAATTCACATCTGAAACTGAGACATGACAATAACCTTTTTTTTCTTGTCCCTTTGCCAAAACTTCACTGATGACATCAAATAACTGACAGGTTAATGTGATGGCCTCAAACTTAATCTTCCCACCTATTATTTTGTCCCATACTACACATCACTGTATTACCAATTTTTCCCCATAAATAATTCCATTCTTCATTTTAAAACAGCCCCTTAAATGTTTCTCTATATGACATCTAAGTCTTTATATCCATCCAAGTACTTATCTCTCACTGCTTTACTTATAATAATGTTATTCTATTTGGGTCAGGTCAGTCTCTTCATCCTCCAATCCAACAAATTACCAAGCACCTAATATGTTCCAGGCCTTATGGTATGTGCTACAAATGCAAGGATGAATTTTACATAGTCCCTGTCCTTACAGTTAGAAAGCTATATCCCCAAAGAAGGGTCACAGAACCCTTTAAATATATATAATTCAAGGAAGTATAGAAATATTATCACCGATCTAAAAAAAATGATAAAAGTCAATATTTGCTAGTATATAATACATAAATTGGCACTGGTGGCTCCACTTGGTCCAGGTGTCAGGTGTTCATCTACCACACAGGACACCCATGGTATAGTATGGAAAGAGTGGAGTAGGATAGATTCTGAACAAACTCAAGTAGACAGTTACATCTTTACTTGGTCGTTCCTTCTCAGCATAATCAACACCCTGTGACACACTGTGATTTATGAGAACTAAGCTGAACTAATAACTTACTAGAATTAACCAACAGCTAAAACTGTAGAAATTGCATGGGTATCCTGTGTGACATGTGAATACCTGACACAAGGATCAAGTGGCGGTATTAGTGCTATTGTATATGTTATATACTACTATGCATTTATTCCTAGGAAATGTCATTTCTGCAAATAATTAGCAGAATGAAAATAACACTAATAATGCAGGCATAAACAACAACAAAAACAAAAAAACGGACAATGTGAATATCTTACTCCTAAATACATGAACTTTACCAGTTAGTTACGTTATGAAGTAAAACCACAGCAATCTAATGAGATGTGAGAAGTCAACCAAAAAAATTCAAATACATCAGGAGACCAACCAAAATATACATTTACATTCACTCATAAACAATAAACCTCACTCTAAATCTATACTGTGCTGAAAGAGCAGCCAATATGGAGGTGCAATTATCGTGAAATACAAGACACTGAAAACCCAGGTGTATCTTGAACATGAAGACAAGCTCTAAAAATAGTGGTTGAAATGAAATCTGTTAAGGTTCCCAACAATGTACTTACTTCTATTTCAATCTACTTGTTTTTGAGAGGTAGCACTTTAGTTATCACATCCCCAAACCAAGTTATCAATCTACACTGAACATGGAATGAGACCTCTCAATCACTGAATCAAAAACTGTAAAACCAAGACTAAGAAACAAATAAGGTACATTCAATCATGTGGTTTTCCTAAAGATGTTTTAGTGAGAAAGTTAACTTCTAAAATGAATGCAATGAGTTTCCCAAATTAAAGTTTAAGCGAGAAAAAAACATTAACATTTTAAAATATTATCAAAGTGTCCATTTTTGAATATTTTATAAATGTAGTAAACTGCTGTAGTAGCACATATATAATTGGAGTACATACTAATTTTTAACTGATAGGTACAGTCAAAAGACTTTTCAGTGATATGGGGAGCGGCATGGACACAATTATTCAGACATGAAAGCACATAGTACGGTAAAAGAACAGAGTTAATAGATCTAGACATTGAGTAAGTTCCCTGTTAATAGGCACTGAGCATCAAATGGTTGCTAATATCAGAAGAAAAGCAGGCATTATGTGCTTTCTGGTGAAAGAACTTACCACCACTTATGAAGCAATCTTGCCCCCCAAATTAAACTTGAATCTAACCAGGGCTCTAGATCTCACTATCCATTTTACAGAAAATACAGAAAGATGTATCTGGGATGCAAGTGGCACAATTCAAACTGAGAAAGTAGGACGAATAAAGCAGTTTCTTCAGCAAATAAATTGCAAGGGAAAAATGGAGGGGTGGGGGAACAGATTAAAAAACATCTTTAGCAATCAAAATGTATGGATATTTGGATCCTGATTAAAACTGCTAAAATATATATGATTACAAATGTGGGCACTCACTGAAGACTTAATGTTAAGAAATTACTATTAATTTTTGGTATAATGATAATACTGTAGGTTAATTTTTTAAATGGCCCTTATCTTTTAGAGCTACATACTAATGTATTTTACAGATGAAGTTACGGAGGAGAAATTACGCAGGTAGAGGTTTAAATGAAACAAAATTGACCATGAATTGATAATTAAAACTACTATATGGAGATTTATTTCATTATTCTGTCCTATTTTTGTGTAATTTTCCATAATAAAAAGTTTATCTTTTTAAAAGGAAGGCCAAGGCATCATTTAGTTACCCCAGGCATTTACACAAAACTGTCCCTTTATGATTACATTTACCCTGAGATATTTCTCATAATTGAGACCTTTCAACTAAGTATCATGCCTACATAGACATATGCATGTAAGGATATGAGAAGCCATAAATTATTCTCAAATTTTGGAAATTATTTATAAAGTTATTTTTCTAAAAGTCACTTTCAATCTGCTTCATCCACAACACCAAGCCAGAAAAAACAGCAGCTATTCACTAAAAGGCAAGTGGAATAAGACTTAACCCCAAATTGAATGTTTTATCCTTCTAAATTGAAATGAACATGGATAACTATTACTAAGGTTCAAGAAAAGACATGACCCCTAAGGGTATCTACAGGAAAAGCTTTTGTAAGCAATGTTTGGTTTAAAGTTCTTGACGGAAACTGATACACTATTCAAGTAAAAGTATACACGTACTTATAAAACATGTTAATTCCAAACTGAAAGCCCATATATAGAATTTGACTTATACCAAAGTCACAGCAAAAACATTTAAAATTGGCTTTAACTACTAAGGCTACAGAAACAAGATAATTCATGATCATGGAGAATGTTATTCATGATGTATATATGAAAGAGAAATTAAATGGTTAATAAAAATAAAATTTTATGATGGCTAACATGCTAACCTACATGCTCTCTCACACTTTATTTAATTCTAGTTTGGGAAGAGAAAACAGGTTTCTAATTTCCTCAAATCATTAATTAAATTTTCATCATTAATTAAAATAAAGGAAAGTACGTTACACAAACACACACTCACAAACACTAGCAAATACCACAAGGAGGACAAAGGAGGTAATACAAAGTCATGGGCTCATCAGAGAAATATACCTCTAAAGAGGTTTTTTTGTTTGTTTCTTTTTTTAACTTTTATTTAAAGATTTGTTGCATGGCCATTAGGGCTAACACCTAATAAGTAACTTTATAAGGAAAAAAAAAAATATATATATATATATAATATACACTGGTATATTATATATACCACTGTATATATAATACATACTGGTACAAACTAAAATTAAGCCCAAACTCAATATATCAAAATTTTGAGAAAGGAGCTTTTTAGGAATGCTGAATTTCTAATTAAAAAGTAGACAGGAAGGACGTTTCAGTCTGTAATCTATTTCACTATTAGAATTAAAAATCCAATATACAGGCCATTTCTTCCTTTCTTATATTTTACATTGATTACTTCGACTCATTAACAATTTACTTATTCATATACTTTAGCAGTATTTACCAAAAGCAAAATCAAACTCAAATCAGATGTGCTCACATATAAAATGACTACATTTCTCTCAATTTTTGCACTTAAACATTGTACTTCCTACAGCCCCTTAAATCAAAATATTTAGCCATGGTTATTTTGTCAAACTTTCCTGTATATGGCTATAAGAAGCAATATTACTGAAAAACATTAATGTTTTCTTTCCTACTAGGCACATGGTAAAATACTACATTTTTCAACTATAAAGGACTTCTCAAATATCACTTTTAAAGTTAACCCCTAGCCTACTGAAGTTTCAATGTATTCTAATAAAAATGGCCGAAACAAAATTAGTTATATTCATCTTCATTATATTATCGAAGTATTTTAACCAGTACGAAAGAAAACCCTGAAGTGACTACAAAAATGCAAAAACAGTTAAAAGCACATGAAAAATAAATATAAATGTGGCCAAAAAATAGTAAAAATATCTTTCATCTTTTCCAAGACAGTAGGATTTTCATATATACTTATCATTATCTGTGCACATAACTGGATTCAAAAATTAATTTAACAAAATGTTTATTCAGTACTACTATTCAAACAAGTCTCTATGTACAGTAAATATACATAAAGTTCTAATAAACAATAGTGCAATACTTCCAAAAGTTTTAAGTGCTAGTATCAGATTTTCAAAATTTGTAAACCTTTTAGTTTGCTAAATGATTTAAATTATTAATACAGAATGTATCAAATACTTGCTTGTAGTTTTCCAGGTTACCCTCTCCCACACACAGAAAAACCCAAAACACCATAAAAACAAAACCTCACAATGGCCACAATGTAAAAAGAAGTTCATAATCAGTAAGCTGATGTTTATATATTTTTGAAACATAGTTCTTGAAATACATTACTAATTCCCTTCAGATTATACTTAAGTTGAGGTTTATACAGAATCCTGAACATGATTATTCTGCTTAGATTCATACAGCATTTAAAACATTATTTTTAATAATAAAATTTTGACCAAAAAAAGCCATAAATTTGTCTTTTATTTCAAGAAATTTTAGACCTGTGTTTCTTGTGGCCATATCGCTGCTGATAATTAAATAAAAAATAAAGTCATTTCTACCACAATGTATTATCAAGAAAGTTTTCTTTCAATGACTTGGACTAAAGTTTCTTAGTATCTGTATATAAGTATTTAACCATATTAAAATCTAGACATTTTTAAACAAGATATCAGTAAACTTAACTGTATCCTTAACCTGTTATTACAGTCTTGCATTAAGTGTCTGGGAAGAGAAATAAAATAGGTTTCTAATTTCCACAATATACTATTAGTTGAAATAAAGAAAACTTGTTTATAATCACTTATAATAAAGCTTTCACTACTTGCAATATTTTATAAACACGTTAAAATCGAGCACTGTAAACATTTTTTTTTCGATTTGATGAGGATTGGGAGGGGATGGTTAACGAGATTTCTAAGAAGTACCTACTTTGCCTTTTTATTAACAAAATAATTTATTTATGATTCTCCTACTAACTACCACCTCACTGTCCTGGCAAAACATTTATTCTACACAGTGTTCTTTTCAAATGAATCATCAGTAGAAAAACATACTCTTTGGGCTTCAAAATAGCTGTCATTATTACAATCTTACAGGACTCCACTGTAGGAACAATTTAAATATCTCACAAAGAAGATCCACATTTGAAGATTTAGATAACACTTCTTTCTCAAAAGATACATGATTCTGGAAAGAATATATTTAATGAATTATGTAACAAAACAAAAACAAAAAAACTCATGGTACGTTTCCAGTTTTAATTGGTAAAACAAAAATCTTGAAACACATACATACATTTAGGAGGGAAAAGGGAATGGACTGCCAACATCAATCAGCAAATGCTACCAATTGGTTCTATAATTCAGGTTTTTCTAGTTAAATCCCAAGTTTCCAAGTTTATTCTAAATTTTTTTCTGTACATTTACCCGTTTTAACAACATCAACATTAAATGACCAAAACAAGATGGACTATGAAATTCTTTCTTTAGATTCTTGGCTGAAAGTCTCATTTCTAAAACTGGTACTCCAATATACTGAAAATGCCCTCTCTGCACTATATTTGTGTACCATCTTTTCATAACTATTAGTATATTTAGGACATAATGCATTAAAATAAGGCTACCGCTAATGTACCAAAATCCATGTTTACATGACAACATAAGAATTGTCTTCCAGACATGAAAAAATTGTAATAACTGTCATGTTTAAAAGGCATGTATTTTATTACTCTCATATGTATTTTAGACAAAAATACTGACCAGATAATTATGCTCTTCCACATATCATGTTCACTGAGTTTACTACCACAATTTTAGTGCAACAAAATATCTTTGAAAAGCCACTCTACAGCAATTATGGCAAGGCTCATTAAAATGCAGAGGTAAAGGCTCCATTTGTATAGAAACTTAGAAAATAATGTTTGAAAAGGAAAGATGTTCCATTAGGCTAAATATTTTTTTTATACTAAAAATATATATAAACATTTCTTGAATTAGTTTTATAGTCAATTTTGATGCAGTATAGTTTAGTGGTGATAAATTTTGAGAGGTATATGTTTAACAAACATACATGAGACTTAAGTCTTAGGTAAACATTTAATACACAATACCAAGGTAGTTTCCTTTTTTTTTTTTAATTTTTGTACCAAAAAAGTCATACATTTAACACTGACATTTCTTCTTACCTGTGTGCCTCAGACCAATAAAGTACTCTGCATTAAAGTTTAAATCTTGAGACAGTAGTACAGCATTGAAAAAAATTGTAAAGCAGCTCAGATACATTGAACCCAGATTTTACATTTTCATTTTTCAGATTAGAATATAAAAAGTAAGCTTGAAAATCAACTTGAAAAAAGCTTATTCTTCCTCAAGAAAAAGTATGAACAATCTGAAAATGATCAACTAGTATGAATGAAACATTGTACATAGTTAAGTCACATTTAGTGGTTGCTAAACATACCACTCCCTCCTGGAAATTACGGAACCATCTACATGTGAAACTAAGTCATCCTCATTTTCGTCATAATGTTCATCACTGACGAACTTCATTCCCATTTTTAGATCTTCGTAATAATCCATTGGTCTTTCAAACCTATTGAGATTTTCTACATTGTTCCACTGGGTTTTTTCAGGTTCTTCCAAATAGTCTTTACGTATTAGATTGTTCACTGGATTTTTGTTTTCTTTTTTTACACTGTCTGGGTAAGAATCAAGCTCGTCCTGTTGAAGTACGTCTATTTGTGATTCTTTTTGCATATCTGATGGTGGAATGTAGTTCTTGGCAAAGTAGTCTCCACGAAACGTCCGTCTTCTCCTATAGCAGAATATTCCAGCCAAAACACTTACAAGTACTATGAAGAGAGCCCCACCCACTACACTAGCAATGATCGTGCCAATTGTATCATCCTTAATTGTTGCCAAAGTTGACAATGGGAAGGGCAATTTTTTAGGTTCTGTTGCTAGATCCTCGATGTCAGCAGTTGAGGGATGCCACTGAATTGTAGGCTGAAGGGTGGTAGTAGTAGGAGGATCTAATGGAAACAGTAAAGATAGACAAGACACAGAAAGGCAAAGAATGTCAATGCAGGCTGATTCAGCAGCAAGTTGAAAAGACAGCACAGTTAATGAATATATATTCATAGTAATAATAGTTTTTCATTCTTAATTTGACTAAAATTAGAATGTAGTAGTACCTATATAATTTTTTTAAAAAATGACACATTTTCAGTCACCAATGAAGTGAAAAGAATGAAACCTATGGTGTAAATCCTAAACTACTTTATACCAAGATTAAGAGTGATACTGTACTCCAGAAAATAGTTTTGTTTAAAACAAAGAGTATATATACTTAAGGGTCCTATATACGGCTGGCTTAAGAATTATTGTACCAAAAAATTAAGTTAAATAATTCAAATGTACATTTTCTTAACCAGTAGCACAGGAAATAAAATGAAAGAATAAAAAAAATTAAAGTTTTCTTAATATGTATTTTACCTAATGTTTTATTTTTCTAAGATCTGAAGTAATCTTTAAAAGAATGAAAAACTATAGGTTCTTGTTAAGTGGGCATAGTATAAGCCGTTGGTTTAATAATTCTCTCAAAAATATTTTCCTTAAACAAAGATAACTCTAAAAACTTTTAGAAAGGAGATATATGGTAAACACCATTATTTAGTTATTTAAAAAAAAGTAAAAAGCTATGTTTAACATGTGTTAGCCAAATGGACTATTATAAATGAGATGACTAATAGAAAAAGACAAAGTAAAAATATGCTATAAACTATAAGGTGATAAAAATGTCATTATCACATCTAATACCCCATGGGTAAGATATCTGAACATTTAGGAAATTCAGGAATTTCAACTATATCAGCAAAATTTAATGTCATTGCTTTAGGATGGAGTATCAAAAAGAGTAGCTAATATTTTAGAGAGAACATTCTGGTAATACTTATTAGATGCTAATGAACCTGTGTTGACACTAGATTACAAAGTAAATAGCCATTAATATTAAAAAGCAACTAAACATAAATAGTAACAATTAAAGATTGGTTAATTATCAATTAAGTAGTATTTGTAGGTCATGTTACACAAAATTCTGGAGTTTGAAGAAAGGATGAGTTTAAAAATCTTGAATTTCTTCACAGATAAAAATAAATGACCCAAATGGTAATCTCCTATAATTTTTAAATGAGTGGTACTGATAGAGTTTTTAAAAAATGATTGTTAGAAAAATACTAAATCTACGTGGAGGTAAGTTATTCTAATATTACAAGCTAAAGAAAAATACTTACTGAAACAGGTTTCATCACGGAATGCCGTATGTACAGAATGCGGTAAAAATTTAACAAGTACAGTAAAAAATTTAACAATACAGTATAACTAATTTCCTCTGAGTTTAACTAATATAACAGGTAATCCTATCAAGTACCTTGAAGTGAACATTACTTATCTTAGCATATGTAAGTGAATCAAGAAAGAGTTTTAATTTATGAGAACATATTCACTAACTGAACAAATTCAATCGGAAAAAAACAATAGTGGAATTGAAGGATCGTGTCTAGTATAAAAGTAGTAAAGCCTCATATAATCCAATTTCATAGAATTAGGATACTAAAGAAATAGACTAAAAAGTAAGTCATTTGTAAGACAAATCATGTATTTTTTTGAGGGAGGAGGAATAACAGAAAGGCAGGTTTTAAGTACTGAATGTCATCTTTACAATGATTCCCAAAGAAAAAAGTATTACAATAAACTGGCATCAGCACATTAAATAAAAGTACAAATCACCTAAGTAAATTGTTTATAATTTACACACTTCTGTGCACATAAGACTTGTAAAGTTTATTGCCCTTGATATACTAGTTTTCTCAGAACAGTACATACACCTGATATCTCACCAAATATAAGATACGTAATCAAACATTTGTACCAAGTATACTAAAAACAAAAGAAAAAAACAAAGAACTGACACTTCTTATTTCTACTTGCAAAGTTCTTTATACGAACACAGATGGATGTCTACTGTCCGTTTCACAGAGATTTAACAAAATACAGCTTTCAGAAAAATCTAACCAAAGAAATTATTTTAAAATCTTAATTTTGTTAGTGGTTCTAGAAATGTTTCAACTCACCATCCTCCTCAACCAGTGTTAAAAACAGTATAGACTCACTATTAATATCTTTCCATGAAAGAGGGACTATTGTTAATACTTCATTGTTTTGTATTTTAAGCAACGGACATATGTCAATGCATTATAAGACATTTATTTCTATTTTCTAATTTAGAATGAGAGTCACAATCCATGTAAGAAGGCAGTTGGACTATTCTGTAATCACCAATAGCTACTTATTTATCATGGTTGAAAATGCTTCCCAACAACATTCCTATTTATTCAGTCAGGCATTATTTTTTATATTCTTTGCTGAATGTATGATAAATGAGTATATAATGAATATAATGACTCTGTGTTCTCTTCACCCAAATGAAAAACTTTTTAACTTTCTTTTCTAACTAATGAGTTCAGCCAAACAGGAAAACAGAACTGCCAGGTAAGGCCTTTGAAGATATAAGGTATGCTTGTACTTTAGCCTAATAATTACTGTGCAAAAAAAAAAAAAAAAAAAAAAAAAAAAAATTAAATGGATTAGTTGACTTCTTTTTCATTTAACCTTTATATAAGTTGTTTAAATAGATAAAATCACACATTTTAAGGTTTAAGGATTGCTAAGTAGATGTGGATTCTTAAGTTTGATACTATGCCTGAATCCTAAAATCACTATAATTTGAAATTAAAGTTTTGCATAGGAATACGAGTTTTAGGCATGGGGGTACTTATTTGATATATACAGATTTGCTTTTCTGTTTTCAAAGAGAAGTGACAGTATCAGTTAGGCAGAAAATACACACCTAAAGCAAACCAGAAAAATACAATTTTCAGCAGTCAGTTAACGAGACAAACAGCCACTGTACTCTCTAAGAGTGTTACTACACTAGAATACAATTTAATAACTGAAGTTGAATACTGCAATCTTGAATCAATGACCTCTTATCCAAAATCTTATGTTTATCAAAATGGGAAAATGTATAATTAAAATTAAGAACAATTTCCCTCAAACAGAATTGCTAACTCCAATCTGTTTTGCATAGAACTTTTAGTCTCTAATCATATTTTACACATATTTTTAAAGATCATTTCTAAAATTTTGAAATATCAATTTTAGTACTCAGGTAAAAAATTTTTCCTAGAAGAACAAAGATACATATAACAATGAAAAAGATTAACTGTTTGATTTTTCACTGTGTGAATAATGGCCTCTTACTCTGATAAAAGCCTACTAGTTTTTAGTAAATAGTCATTTTGGAAAGGCAGCATTATATCTAAGATACTTAACAGATGCTAAGAAGCCCTTAGAGGAGTTAACTAAACTTGGCATAGTATACTGTATTAAAGATTCTGCATAGAAAGGTAAAGTCTAATTCCTGATGATTACTTGAAGAAAATCATATCATATAATTAATGTCATCCTCTTTTGAAGTGCTTAGAGATAATTAAACGTGATTTTTCATGTTTACTCAAAATTTGATTTTTCTTCTTGTAAGACTTAGTAGATGTTGATAACAAAAATATGTGCAAAGTTTGTCACCAGTATTACATCAGGTCCCTCAAAGAAAACAAAGTTACATAAAAGCAGATTCTGGATTTTTAATTCTTTCCTGATTATTTTCTTCTCAAATTAATTCTTTCATGCAACAAAAGTGTACTAAACACCTATTATATACTACACATCATTGCAGATGATGGGAATACAGCAGGGATTAAAGCAGACAAAAATCCTGCTCTTGGGAAAAAACAGACAAGCGTATATATAAAATATGTAGAAAGGGCAGTAAGTACTGAAGAGAAAAATAAGGCAGAAAAGGTGAACCAAAAGTAGTAAAGGGGTGAGAAGAGAGGATTTCGATTTTAAATACAGTCATGAAGGATGAAAGACCTCACTAAAAAGGTGATATTTTAGCTCACTAAAGGAAGTGAGGGAAAGAGCTGTGAGGATACCTGGTGGAAGAGCATTCCAAGCAGTGGAAATGGAACACGCAAAAACTCTTGAGGCAGGAATATGCCCCTTGTGTTCAAAGAACAGCAAGGAGGCCAATGTGGCTAAGCCAGTGAGCAAGGGATATAATAAAAAATGAGATCAGAGAGACAATCCAGGATGAGGGCATGTACATTGCCTTGGAAGTCACTGTAGAGATTTGGCTTTCATTGTGGGTAAAACAGGAAGCCCATGGAAGGTTTTGAAAAGATTGACATGATCTGATACGCCCTTTAAAAGGATCACTCTGGCTATTCATTTGATGATAGACTGAAGGGGAATAGATTCAAAGTAGAGAGATTAAATGGCTATTGTGATAGTGAATGAAGTAAGAGTTGCTGATGGCTTGGACCAATGTAGTAAGTAGCAGCTTCCATGAGGTAACGAATTGGCAAGATTTTTTATATAACATAATGAGAGAACTGACAATGATTTGTTGATGGATCGGGTGGAGTATAAGAGAAAAAGCTAAATCAAGGATAACTATTAAGAGGTGTACACTGAGAAAATGTAAGGATGAAATTACCAATAACAGAGGAAGACTGGTGGAGAAACAGGTTTGGTGTCAAAGGGCAGTAGAAAGATCAGGACCTCACTTTTGAACATGTTAAGTTGTAAATGCCTATTAGGCTTCTACATACACTTAATAATCATTAACAGGCAGTTGGACACACAAGTCAGGAGTACTGGGAAGTGGACCCAGAATGTCAAAAGATACAAATTGGGGTTGGCTGGTTAGGTCAGTTGGTAAGAGCACAGCCTCATAACACCAAGGTTCCCTATACTGGTCAGCCGCCAAAAAAAAAAAAAAAGATACAAATTTAGGGTACTGTCAATAGAATCAGTATATATAACAGTGCCCAAATTGAGCCTTGATATTTAAATGATTACATAACTATAACATTGAACCTAAGATTTACAAGTACTATTCCACACCGGAAACAAAAAATAAACAGTCCTTCAGTAAATACATTTTAAATACTTATTTCCTGTGGCTTATCTTTTAAGAGATGAGAAAGAGACTAATATACTAATATTTAATCTCATTCAGCTCCACCAGAGCACTGCTACTAGCAGAAAGGGCTAGAGATATATACATTTCTAAGCTTCTACTTTGGTCATGCAAAAAAAATCTGAGTATCACGTGTCAGGCACTAAGCTAACTGCTAAGTATACACAGTGGTGAATAAAGCAAACACAAATGCTTAATTGTGAGGATAGAGCATAGAACTAGAAATTGTGGTAAGTGCTATGAGAAAATAACGAGGGACTGTTATTAGATTAAATGATCACAAAAAAACTGAGAATATAACATTTAAGCAAGCATAAAATTTCTCTAACAGCTGATTTATTTAGTTTTAGACCTGTAGAGATAAAAACCTTAACTACCTGTTATATAATTACCATACAAACCTGCACTTCTCAAGGTTCTCTTCTTTTTGCCCCTTAATTTTCCATCTGTCAGATATATTTCTATATTCTTGCAGTCAGAAAGGAGAAGCTAAAAATGCTTTACATAATTTTTATAAATAAGCATTCCACTGATAATTTGTTATTTATAGCCACACTCAGGAAAATATACTTTTAGCTCTCTACATATTTTGTGAATGCCCAAATTTATACTCAGTCAAATTAACACAAAAATTCACAGTGAAATACATAGGATGTGGAAAATCTAAGTTGTTAGTGGCTTAAAGACTGACAAGAAACATCTTAAATTTTATTTTATTAAAACACTTTCAGTAGCATTCCTGTTTCACCTTTCAGTAACCCAATATGATATAGTCCCATATTGAGTAGCAATTAATGTCATTTAACATGCCAGATCATCAAAGCTAATATCCCATTTTATTTATCAAATAACTGTATGCAGAGTAGCCATCAAAGCAAAAATACATACATACATACATACGTAAATAAATCACTGTTCTTGGTGTAAAGACAAAAGAATCTAGAAAGGTATATTACCTATGAAAGGGATATTCAACACTGTTTGAAAAATTAACTATATGTATAGGTATTAAAATGTATATAAACTTGCTGCATAGACATTTTCACATTTCTCTAAGTAAAGGAATGCCATCTTGCATATGTATTTCAGATAGGGTTACTTTATTATATCACTTTTTAGGTTATTTGGAAAACCACACAGTGAGTAATTTATATCTTTGCAAGTATAAATGACTGCCTAGAATTACACTGTTATTATGATTGTTATTACAGAAATAAGTTAAATAACTTATTTTGCAAGTAGACAGTAACTTACCTGAAATGTAGATGACCTTTTGATCACTTCTTTGACCAAGGGAATTGGTTACTTTACAGACATAAACACCAGAATAATTGAAAGTCAGTGGATGGACAAAATGAAGGGTATTGTCTGAAGCCAATAAACCATCAGGCCACTGTCCATCCAACCTAGATTTTAAACAGCATAAAATGATCTTAAATATCTTCAGGCTTTATTTATCAACAGCTAGTTAAAATAAGACATTATACTTCAGAGATGTTAGTAAAAGAACCAGTATCTTTTAGACACAATTCATTATGAAATAAAAGCATATAAAAGTAATAAATTTTCATTTTAATAAAGACAAACTAAGATGAAGTCCATTAAGAACACTGTTCTCCTGAAATATCAATCCATATAAGTAAAGGTAGGCCAACATAATAGAAAGGGAGGAAAGCATAGAAAAAAATACAATTTTAAAGAATTATATTCAGAAAACTGGAAATCAGAAAAACACTTTGTTTGAAAACACCCACAGTACTAAGAGAATTAAAATTCTCAGTGAATTATAGATCTACTTATGATATATATATAATTTTCTTAATGAAAAGTCATTTCATTTAAATATGATAACATTTTAACACTTTCTATAACATATTTATAGAACATTATTTAATATTAATACAAATCTATAGAGTGCCCCATCCAAAGACAGTTCCTAAAGCAGCAGGAACGGTCCTCTTATAAAATAATTTCATTTGTAAGATAGACATCTGAGACAATAAAAAACCAAGACACCATTCGGTATCAATCATAACTCTTTTTTTAAACAGTGTTTATACTAATTTGGCCATGAGGTCCTACATCTAGTATATACATTACTGTAAACTATATAAGTCCCACTGTATGAACTCTGAAGCCATTCATTGTTAGTTCTACTAGTATACTAGTATAGTAGTAGAACTAAGTATACTGTTATAAATCACTTTTCCAACCTGAGGGTACCAAAAAAAAATTAATAAATATTTACTTTGAAACTTTTTAAAGCTTACGTAAGTTTTTTCCTAAGGGGGGAAAAATCAAGTAAACCCTGGTAATCAACTATTATACTTTAAGCCAAGAAGATTTTCAAAAAAGTACATTCTCTCATTCATTCACTAATTCAATTACTAGAAGTTTACTATGTGCTATACTCTGCTTTGCTGATGTTGCTGAGAGGCAGAAGAAAGGAAGATTTGGTCCCTGCCTTCAGTGATGTTAAGTACATAGTAGAAGATCAACAACTCATTACAAAGGGAATAAGAACAAAAATAAAAAGGCAGAAAGAAACAAATCAACACTGGAAAATAGGTGGAACAATTTTATTTTGCAATCCCAAGGGTAGTGGGTGGAAAAGTCGTCAGTAAAATATTTGAGAGATCTTAGCACTTTAATTTAGCACTGAAGGGTAAAGAAAAATATTCATACATGGTTTAAAAAACAAAGACACCCAACCTTTTTCTTAAGAGAACTTTGGAAAGAAAATTTTTGCAAGCATCAGCTTTCAAAAGATGAACTCTTTTCCTAAGAGGATATCAATGCATACGAACTATTATGTCTTACCTTCATACTTTGGGCTCAAAATTCTAATTCCTTTAATTCTCTGAGAAACTTAAACATGTCTTATAATCTTATAAAGTTGTTTACTCAAATAAGCCACAGTCACAAAAATATAAATGTTTGGAAAATAGAATAGTATGGTCAGGGCCCTTGCCTCAGGTCCAGTTGGGTGTGGTTTTAGCACATCCTCTGTAAGCAAATTGTGTGTGTGTGGAGTTAGTGCGCATGTGCGCCAATGTATCTTTTTAGTTTTGTTACTATTCCTATGTTCTTTAGAGAGAGAGGAGATTTAGTGAAGCAGGTGGGTGGGCATCTACCCAGCACAGCCATGCTTTCCAACCTGCAGCTTCCAAGGACTGTTTGGCTGGTTACCTAGCTCATAGGTGTGCGTGTAATGGGTCTGGGGACCCAGCCTGGTGTATGAAGGGTTTGTGATCCAGTCTGTGAACGGGCTCGAGGGGTCTCTGAGCTCCAGACCCAGCCCTAGCTTGTCAATTGGCCCAGTCAGTATAGGATTACCAGCAAGTAAAAGAGCCCGACCACATGCGTGGTCATGTAGCTAGACAACTGGAGTCACGAACAGTATTAAGAGCACTATAATTGGCGATGTTGACAGGATTCTGACATTAACCATAGCCTAGCAAGAGTTCCACAATAAATATCACGTTAAATTATGTTACATGATTTATATTTACTCTTTATACTTTCACAAAAACTATATGAAGTACTGTTAAGGATTAGAGAGGTTAAATGACTTATTCAAAAAAGACATCTAGAAGTATAGACACTGGAATGAGAATACAGGATTGTATAGCTTTTAGGAATATCTATCAAATAAACATAAATAATGACTGCTTACTACTTTTAAGAAAATGTAAATGAAACAGGCCTTTTCTACTTTTAAAACTGTATCTTTGCTTAAAGACAACAGACCGACCAAATATACTTTTCCTTACTCTCATAAAATCCTAACAAAAACAAGTGTAAAGGAATTAAAAAGGCATATTAAAAATCCATGAAGAGAAAAAGAATAGCAGGCAGAATTCAACAGACAAGGTATTTCGACAAACCTTTAGAAGACAGAAAAGTCCATATGGAAAAACAATATATGCTGCAGGCCACTGTTTCTCAGCCAGGAGTGATTTTGCCCCTGGGGATACCTGGCATGTCTGCAGACATTTTTGGTTGTCACAACTAGGGGTAGGGGGATTAAACGATACTGGCTATAGAGGGAGAAGCTAGGAATACTACTAAACAAACATCCGCCAATTTACAGGACTGCCCATCCCTAAAAAGAATTATCTAGCCCAAAATGTCACTAGTGCCAACGTTGAAAGCTCTACTTCAGGCTGAAGCGTTTCTTACTGGAGGCATATGGACGAGAAAGCAGCGAATTTGGTCCGAAAAATTCAGGAAAGGTTTGGAGGTTGACTCAATGTACTACAGAAGGCCACAAGGAGGCAGAGGGATGAAAATAGGAAGATTACTTGAAAACTACAAAACAATAGTTTTTTTCCCAGTTCTGTGCACTAACCAGGCATTTATTTCTCAGGCAAAAGGATGAAGGTAAATTCAATTAATAAACTGAATGGCCATGAAGAAAAAACTTCCACTCTTCCATTAGTGACATCTGGATCTTCTCCAGGAAAACAACCACTTCTTTACCTGATCAAAGTGGAACCTATTAGTGAGTAATACCCACTTTAATGCTTCACTGTGAAATGACTAGACAACCAAGAAGATTAAAGAATATCCATAAAATGAAAAAAAAAAAACAAAAAACAAAAGAACAAACCAGAAAAACAAAGAATTTGGAGAAAAACAGACAATATGTAGGAAGCAGAAAAAAACTTTGGGGAAATAACTCTAGTATCTCTGGTAAGAAACAAGAAGATATTACATCTATAAAATAAAAAAGGGATGCTATAAAATGAACTGAAAATGAGAAGAAGCTCTTATAAATTAAAAAAAATGCCAGAAAATTTTTAAAATCTTTAAGTCAAAGGAATTTTTTATATCAAGAAAATCTTCAAAGAACAAGAAAATCTTCTGAAAAATATAAAAGAAAGAAAATTTATTATACAATAAAGAGGAGTTCCAGTAAGAGTAAACAGAAAAAAGTAAAGAGGGGAAATAATAATAAAAAAAGAAAATTATCCAAAGTTGACAGATACAAGTCTCGAGATTGAAACGAGTCCCAAATACTAACAAATATCAGTGAAACCTTATTATAACAGTTTGAATTTCAAAGATAAAGAGAATTATGCTAATAGTAAACTACACAAGTAAAAAGAGGCAATTTTTAGCCACAGCACAGGAAAACAAAGAGCTGTAGACAAGGGAAAACAGAATTCCAGTATACTACTTAATAATCAGTTCTCAGTAAATAATACAAGGGTACTTCAAAAAGTTCATGTGAAGATTCATATTTTCTTTTAATTTCATTTTTCCACAAACGTTTTAAAATAACCTCATATTCATCTGTTATAGGGAGACAAACAGTAATTACAGAGTTTAAAAGTAGCTTAATTTCCTTAGGACTATGAAGGGTAGGAATGTGTACCATATATTTGGGTGTGTCTGTGGGTAAAGAGATAGATATAAAATTAATTCTTCATTATCTAAGAAGTCAATAGAGTGTTAAAAATAGGTAAATTAAGAAACAGTAGTTTAAGACATATGATGGTAACTACCAGAAGGAATTGCTAACATTACTAAAGTAGCCTCTGAAGAATAAAACTGAGGGGGAAGGAAGGTGGGGAAGGATAAGGTAAGGGAACTCTCAAAAACCCTTCATTTAACTAAAGTTTTCAGCTGTTACTATAATCATGCAGTACACTGATAGAAACAATTTTAAATATGTATTTAATAATACTTTTCAGTTTTAAATAATTTTTCTTTAGAAGTATATATTATTACCTGCTCCACACAGATTTGAAGGGTGGTGGATTCGCATCAGCATTACACTTGAGATTAACACCTTTTCTTCCTACAAACCAATTTCCATCATATCCTGTTACTGAAACTTCAGGAGCATCTATAAAATAAATGCAGGACAGGACAGGTTATCTTTTGTTAATGATAAATGCAATATACAATAATAAAACATTAACACAACAGAGTAAGCTTTAGAAGAACAGGAATCATTTTTCCTTACTCCCAACAAATATAATCAAGGTGGAAGATAACACTCAATAAATATCAGTTGACTGAATGAATGAAGGAATGGACAATGAATAAACACTATGCAACTATAAGCATGTACAGTTCTCATTATTAGGGATGCTGAATGTAAGAATATTTATAAACCCATAATCACCAAAAGCAAAATATAAGAGTCCTATTATGAGAGATGTAGAGACATATGAACAAAGCAAATATATTATAATACTTAAATAATAAGACATGTCATTTAAGTACCATGTAGTACCAAGTCACCATATAAAACTGTTTTTAAAGAGATGATTAATCTGAAAGGAAATATCCTATAAGAGTTACGAAGTCAATAACAGATTAGATTCCCTATATTACAATTAATTAATAATCTGTAGCCATGAAAAAATGTGACACAGACTTTCTAAGATTATACACTTACAACTGAGATAAATTATCTAGGGCCTCAACTGTACTAAAACATTAACTTTTATCCATTCAATGTCCCCAAAGGTCTTTTAGCATACATCCAACATAACTACTTGAATGAGCAATTATACAGACTGACCAGCAATATAAATGTATGTCTTCAAACTATAAAGCCCAATACCTATCATTCATTCAACCATCATTTTGTTTAGCTTCTAATAAGTGCCAGGCACTGTTTTAGGTGTTTAATATACATATAGACACTGTACTCATAAAATTTACATTCTCATAGTAATAGGGAAAATGACATTTAAAAATATTTAACTAAAATCTGCTATGAGGGCCAAGAAGGAAAAGAATTGAATACTAAGATAAAAAGAAAGGACTAATTTAGAATGGGGATGGGGGCAGGGGAAGTCATGAAAAGCTTCCCTAAGGAAGTGTTGCTTATGCATGGTGCAGGGACATTTCATCTTTCTGTAAGCTACGAAGAAAATCAGGTAAACAGCACATGGCCAGATGAGGAGCTAGAGAGAGACCAGGTCAGTCTTTAAATCTGCCAGGGAAGTCTGACCTACAGAAAAGCAAAGTTTACAAAAAAGTTGTAAAAATTAAGCCTTTGGCAAGGTACAATTACCTTAGTAATTAAAAAAAAAAAAAGCCTGCTTTTTATAAATACCAAGAATTAACAAACATTTCTGTAACTTAAATTTGGTACTTAAAAATGCTGCTGAAAGAACAGTCTAGATATCTATAAGTTTAATTTCTTTTCAAAAGAGAGAAAGGGTAAGCATTCAAATATCCCCAAATAATACCTTCCAATTTTGAGGTATGAATTTGGGATATAAGACCTTATATCTCCTTAAACTTCATTCGCATGTTTTATAGGTCTCCAATTTAAAAAAGGAAAAAAGTCATGAGTACTTTCAGAACATTTTTGGAGCAAGCCAATAAATCTAAACCATAATTATGAAAACTTACTAGAAGAAATACTTTTATATATCTAGGATTATATACGAGCAAAAAAAAATAACATTAATAACTATAATTATAAATGATTCAAATTGAAGAAAATTTCAGTCATTATTAGACACAGAAGGAAAAAGTATACAATATGAGAAATATATTAACAGTACTTACAACTGGAATCTGAATGTTACAAGAAAAAGAAAAAAGTTAAGAGTCAGTGAAAGCAAGGTAGGAAAAGGGGAAAAAAATTTTTTATTGGATTCTCCAGAGAAGTAAGGAGTCTATTAGCATTCAAGAATACAGTGCTAATAACATTTATATAACTATAGCTTTTCAAATATAACCCTATCAATGTTGAAAAAGACCTTCAGAGTTAGCTTTAAAAACCATTACACCCAGTATAATGAATAAGTAATTCTATATATGCTGTATCAAAAAACAAGAGTAACAACAATAACACATAGAGTAACTTCTTCAAAAACCTATCTAGATTTATAATCTGTAATTGGATGAAAATGACAGCAGAACCTAAATATTTTCCCTTAATTTCATCTCTAATCTGCCTAATTTTTCATTATCCTTGCTATCAGCTATCTGCAACAACCACCTTTTCTCTTGCTCAAAATGTTAAACAAATCACAAAGATTATACCAAAAACTGAGAAACTGCATAGAAGAGGGAAAAGCAGATACACACAAATACATAAACACACACGCACACAAGAGAGAACTTCTTAACAAGAAAACGTAAGTACAGGTGGGCCGGCTTTGAGCCCTATCTACAATGGCTACTATCCCAATGATGTCTTTAAAATATTGTTTAACCTACAAAATAATTTTACAAGATTAATAGATCAGATTTAAAATGACATCAAAAAAATACAGATTTTCAAACTAATTAATATGCATGTAGGGAAGTAAAAGATTCTTGCTGAAAACAGTATGGGCAGCATCAATGAAACTGAGTAATAGCTCAGTTAATTAGAGTGGTTGTCTCTAAGCGTTGTACATTTTGAGGTACAAATTTCCACAACTTCCTTAAGTCCAGCCTACTTTTAAGGTCTTAAAAAGACAAGGTTGAATAATTTTAAACCGGAGAGCAACTTGAAAGTCATCTATTCGTCTTTAGAAAACTGATTAAAAGAAAATGAAATTTCCACGAAAACAAAATATAAACAGAAAAAAGATGTCAACAATAAAAGCTGTAGGAATATCTCAATAATAAATATTCAGACTGGTTTGATAAAGAACTATATCAACAGAGAAAAATTAAAATAAAACGCATGACATGTTGAAATGGTACTATTTACTTACACTGTATATCTAATATGAAAGAGTATCGGATATCCTTTTCCAAGGCTGGATGTTTTACAACACAAGTAATTCGCCTTCCTCTAGCAAATCTGGTTGGAAACAGCTTGTATTGGCTGACAATCGTTGCTGTTTCATTTGGAAAAGAAGTTGTAGTGGATTCCATTTCACCAAGATCACCTTCCCAGTCAATATGTGCAACTGGTTTTCCAGTGGCTGCGATACAAATGGCCGCTACTGTTTCATTTCCTCCATCAATTAAAGAATCTGGCCCTTTTATCAGGCTCACAGTGGGTTCAACTGTTTAAAAAAATTAGTTACATTTCAATTAAGAATGTATTTACATCATGCCTAGCCACATCTGGACATATTTCATAAGCTTAAGGAAAACCACATATAAAATCTACACACACTTTTTGGTAATGCCAATATAACTGCATTCTTGGGACAACAAAAGAAGATCATAAACTAGCACAAACAAGAGGTAAAGATTTTATATAACCATTACAAAGATAACTCTTCCTGAAACAGATATGTATCACTTTGTAAGGACAAATGAGTTCCCTCCAAATTAGTATATACAAAAAATTTCTCTGAACTAGATCATAATTTCCTTTCTGAGATTAAAGATATTATTCTGGGAGGGGGAAAAAGTAGTTTTAATACATAATGCTTCATTTTGAAGCAAAAAAAGTTTAAAGCAAATACTTTTTAAAATAAGATTATGGAACCTACAGTTAAAATGTTTAAGAAAAAAAAAAGTTCCTTTGAGCATCCATAGGAGATAAAACATGTTTTTCTTGGCCTAGTGAGTGACTCAATAAATTTCATTTAAAACAATGCCTTTTAAACATTTAACCTTTAACTTCTCATATGTCTAAAAGAACTGATTAGGGCTGCTGAATTTGTTCAACTACTTTTGTTTATAATATATACTTTAAATTCATGCTAACATATAACATCACTAATTGTTATGTTTATTGGAATGTAGATACTACTCTTCTTCTAATATAAGAAAGTTCTTAACTAACCAGGATAAAATAACAATGTTAGAACCTCTCAATTTACCTGCCACATCTTCTAGCTATTTCTCCACATTACCCAGAAATTCCTATGTTCTGCTTTCTGTATAAATTCCTCAGTACTCACTTCATGAATTCTTTGTGTCAAGTCTATAGTTTATTCTGTACATTGAGTTTTTATCTCAATGACCATTTTTTTTCATTTCCAGGACTTCTAATTGTTTCATTCAATGCCATCTGTTCTTGATTTGTATCAACTTACTTTTGTTTCATGTTTTACTTTGAGGGATATTAATATTTTCTTCATGTAATTCCTCTTTTATAAGATGAATTATTGTAAAATGACAAAAGGAAAAGTACAATACATAGTGAATAACTGTATAGCAAACATCCACATAACCATCTCACATCTTAACAAAGAACATTATTAGCACCTCACAAGTCCCTCATATGCCTCTCCTTGACCATAACACCCTGCCAGCCTCAATGTGAAACCATTATACTAACTCTAGAAATAAACTTTTGCTTATTTTTCATTACTGTTCTATAACCAACAGATGCAAATCTAAAGAACATAATTTTATTTCACTTGTTTCTGCACTTCGTAAGAATGAAATTGGACTACATTTATTTTTGTAGTTTTTCTTTGACTCTTGTTTGTGTTCTGGAGATTCGTTCATATTGGAATATTTAGCTTTAGTTTATTATTTTTTGGAATTCATTTAACTTTTTATTTTTAGATCATTTATGTTCACACGCAGTTGTACAGATTGTTAGTTTTAACTGCTGGACAGATTACTTACTGGTGGACACTAGGATTGTTTCCTGTTTGGTCTAGACAATTTTATAAGAAATAGTCTCATTCATGTATATTGTTATATTTGTGCATAATTTTCTCTCGTTTATCTCTTGTAGTAAAATTACTATCACTATATTTACTTTCAACTTCACCAGAAAATGCCAAAAAAAACCCAAAGTACCTATTTACCCTCAATCTTACAGCTCTTGCAGAGTATATATACACTCACCACAGTTGACAGAATTCTCAATGTTTCCTAGTCTCATAGGTATATTATGGCATATGACTAAAATCTTATTTTGAATTTTTCAGATCACAGATGAGGTTGAGGATCTCTTCATGTGTTCACGGGGATTTGAAATTTCTTCTGCAAAATGCCTATTAAAGCCAGCTGTCCATTTTCTTCTTATTGATGTATAGGAGTTTTATGTAGATTTGGGAAGACAGTCCTGTTTTGATTATATGTGATGCAAATATCTGCTAGCAGGTTAGGGCTTGTCTTTTTACTCATATGATATGTCCTGATGAGCAAAGTTTTTAATTCAAATGTACTAAAACGTATCAGTTTTTATTTACCTTTTGTGGTTAACTGCCTTTATGTACTAAGAAATATTTCTCTACTTTGAAGCCAACTATTGTGTGATTTTTTTAGTTTCTTGTTCTCTGCAGGAAATTTATAGATTGACTTATTTCTCCAAATGATAATAAGCACTGTTGTTTAATAGTCTGTGTTAGATAATTCCAACATCTTATGTTTTTGCAGGTCTGTTTCTGTTTTCTTATTTGTGCTGGCTGCTGCTTGTGGGGTCTTCCCTACTTATATGTCTGATCATTCAAGCACACTATATGCCTGTGTCTGAATAATTAATGTAGAAATACTTTGAGGCCTAGAATAAAGGTACCTTTCTTCCAGAAAAGATTTGCATTTTCTTGTGTCAAGCTTCTGAAAACATTAATTAAGTTCAGTCTACATAAGTGATGTTAACCAAGTATAGAAGTCTACAAAAAAAGCGGGTTTACTTGTGGCTTACTATTATTTTGAGAATGTAAGTCTTTGGGGAAATAGGTGAATATACAAGGGTTATTAGACACCCTAACTGAGCAGAATTACACTCAGACATTTGTCTCTCTCACCTATCAAGGCTCTCAAAATTTTATATCAGCATCTCCATTGTTTCTTCTGAATTGTTAAATGTCCTCAAGTTAAATGCAGCTTTCAGTGCTAGGCCTATTTCTGTTTTCACCTTTTCCTAGATTTGGTCTGGTTATATTCTTCAAACCACGTTAATATTTCTTTGAAAAATTTTAAGGTATTTTTATATTTCACCCCCATTTGGAAAGTTGGTCTGAAATTATACCATCATTAAATGAAGTTTTTCTTTTCTCTTTAAGGAACTTAAACATTTATTTTAAAGTCAATTTTAAGTTACGTTATTTATATTTCTTCTTCTTAAGGGAATCCATCTCCTGGTTGCTGATTTTATTTGTGTTCTAAAGTTAGTTTCTTATATACCTCAACATTGTAGTTAACTTCTCTGTACAATCACCCTTCTCTGTCCAGCAGTTTTGCTATTGCTTCCTCTGACCTTTTAAGATGCTACCCAACGACATGTGTACTCTGGCAAAAACATGAAGTTTTTCCAGTCCTGCATGAACACAAGGATTGTTAGGCCTACTGCTTTCTCATGGCTCTTCGCCCCACCTCAAAAGTTTCCTCTAACATGTACACAAACCAGTGTGCTCTTCTATGACCTTGAAAGTGCCCTGTCTCTCTTTCTCTTTGTGCTGCTCCATTCTTTCAAGTATTCTGTTATACAAATTCCAGCCATCTTGTTCTCTCTGAATTCCAATCTGTGTCTTCGACTCAGTGAGAACTGCCATGCTCCATTTCAACTCCTCACTACTGAGCTCAGGCCTGGAAACTGCCTAAGGAAGAAGCTGGAGCAATTGCAGGGGTTACCTTGTTTTTCGTCTTTCAAAGGTTAGAGTCCTACACTGCCTATTGTCAATGACTAAAAACTGTATTATTTGCCTGGTTTTCTTGTTCCTGAGTAAAGGCTATAAATCCAGGCCATTATGCCATCATGCTCAGCAGTGGAAGCCTATTTTTTAATTGCAAAAGTAGTCTTATTAAAAATTGGAAAAATAGGGAAAAATCATCCACAACTGTAATATCCTGAAAGTCATTATCATATTCTTGTTTTCTTCCTTTTATTTCTATTTCTAGTTTTTCTACAGATATAATCATAGTATGCCTAAATTCTGTGCCTCATTCTTTTCATGTTCTCTCAACCATAACTTTAGCAACTATATAATATTCCATTAAAAGGAAATAACCAATTATTTAACCACTCTTCTACTGTGGGACATATGCTTGTTCAATTTCCCCCAAATTTTTTTATATCACATTCCCTTAATTGTTTCTTTTTTCTTTTTTTTTTTTTTTTTTTTTTTTTTTTTTTTTTTTCCGTGTCCGGCAACGGGATCGCAACCCTCGGTGTTGCTCCTGCGCCTCGCTCAGCCAGTGAGCGGGAACCGGTCCGTATGTGGGATCCGAACCCTGGGCGGGAGCGCCGCCGCACTTCCCAAGCGGCGCACTTATCCAGTGCGCCACCGGGCCGGCCCTCCCTTAATTGTTTCTGCTACTACTACTCCATTAAAACTCTAATGTCACCAAAGACCACCTAATCTACAGACTTAATACTTTTCTTTACGTCTGTTCTCTGATAAATTTTGTACAATCTGATAATTCTTTTCAACTGATTGAGAAGGGCTGTCATGAAGTAAGTCCTAATGCCTAAAGGTGGCTGTCATAAGTCATGAATTAACTTCTAAGCTATGCATTTACAATCATACTAGCTATGAACCACTCTTATGAGAACTGAAAAATAGTCATATTTTCTATAGGGCTTAATTCTTACTGCAGAAAAAGTCTGTTACAGTAATTTTTTCTTTAAAACTTTTATATCTTCTCCTGATATAATAATATTACTCTGCCAAAGTTCTTCTCATAGCTCTATCTGAACTCTTCGTCTCTATTTCTTCTAATCCCTGCCCTAATAAAATATTCAATCCTAGGCCTTCAGTATCTCACATTTAAGTTTTTATCTAGTAAACACTACTACCCAGATGATCCTGAAGTTTCTCCAATTTCATACAAGGCTTGACTCATCAGTTTCTAACTACAGTACCTGCCTGTTATTTCACTGAAATAAGTACATCCTCAAACTCAATAAACCTAATGCTGAACTCATCATCTTATCCTCCCAATTCCCAGCACCTATTTTTCATTCAGATGTGCCCATTTAATTAATAGTAACATACTCAATCACAAAGTTTCAAATCTATACTGTTCAAACCTCCCTTGTTTCTTATATCCAATCAATTACAAAATCCTGCTAATCATTCCTTTGTAATAGTTCCCTTCTTCACTCAAGTGACAGAAATAAAAAAAAATTAACTTCAAGCCTTCATGGCCTCATGACTGAGATATTATGATTTAAGGATCTCTTCACTATAATCTATCACAAACACCAGACTGAACTTCCTAAATCACAACTTTTATCACATTACTCTCTAAATCAGGTCTACTATGAGTTAGGCATCCCTCTAGGTAAGGTGAGAAGGTGGTCAAGGCAGTGCTTCTCACACTTTCTGTGCATACAAATCACTGGGGGATCTTGATAAAATGTGTATGCTATCATTCAATAAGTCTGGGAGGAGTCTAAAATTCCATATTTCTAACAGGCTCCTAAGTGATGCCAATGCTACTGGTCCATAAATCACATTTTAAACAGCAAGGGTCTGAACTTAGAAGAAGGTAGGTCAGAAGATGCATAATCATCATATACTAAGTTCGTACTTCCAAGAATAAAAGCTCAAATTCCCCGTCCTGGCATTCCAATTACTTTTAATGTGGTCCTAGTCTACCTTTCTAGACTTTATTTCTTATACTTTATATAAATTCCTTTAAAAAGTCAACAAATTACTTATTCGGTGTTCCACTAATGCAGGGTTCTCAACAGGCAGTGATCTCCCCCAAAGCCCCCACCCCTCCAAGAGGACACTTGGCAATGTTTGGAGATGTTCTGAGTTGTCAAAACTGAGGGAATGCTAACCACATTTAGTGGGTACAGGAAGGCCATGAATGCACCTAAACAGTCTACAATGGATAGGACAGCTCACCACCACAACAAATTCTGGCCCAAAATTTCAACAATGCTGGGGTTAAGGAAACTGTACCTTAATGTATTCTGCCTCTCTGCCTTGGCTCACCTACTTTCTGTTCTAGAATAACATCTTCCTGTTCTTTCCTTTTTGCCTACCCAAAACCTACCCAACATTCAAGGAGTGGCTCAACTATTTCTTCTATAACACATTTCTTGAGTGTGAAATTCACCAACCCATTCCTATATCCTACTTAAACAACTTTTAGGTGTGACTGTTATATACCAGGAACTCTTACTGGCTTTAGAGACATAAAGTCAAATTTTAAAGTGCACAGTTGCTGTCCACCACATGTTTACAGTTAAGAAAACATAAAATTAATAATAAATATTATCGGGCCGGCCCGTGGCTCACTCGGGAGAGTGCGGTGCTGATAACACCAAGGCCACGGGTTCGGATCCCATATACGGATGGCCGGTTCGCTCACTGGCTGAGCGTGGTGCTGACAACACCAAGTCAAGGGTTAAGATCCCCTTACCGGTCATCTTTTTAAAAAAAAATAATAATAATAATAATAATAAATATTATGGTAACTGCTACAGTAAAGATATGCTCAAGATACAATAGGAAAAAGCAAAAAAAAGTACCAAGTTGGGGGAAAGAGGCCAAGGATGGCTTCTAAAAGGATGAAATTTGATAAATATTATGGTAACTGCTACAGTAAAGATATGCTCAAGATACAATAGGAAAAAGCAAAAAAAGTACCAAGTTGGGGGAAAGAGGCCAAGGATGGCTTCTAAAAGGATGAAATTTGATTAATAACAGTTAAATAGAAGAAAGTAGGAAGAGAAAGGAGAAAAAAGAAGGCAGCACAGGCAAAAGGAAAAACACATGTAACAACACAGGTTAACAGAACTGCAAATAGTTTATTATGATTATAAGATGCAGGTTGTCGAGAGAATTGAGGCAAGGGATGGAATAGATGAAGTTAGAGAAGGGGATATGGGTAAAATCATAACTAGTCTTATAACATAAGCCATCTTGGGTTTTAAGCCAATGACTATTGTATTAATTTAGAGGGAATTACAAAACTTAAAGAAAATAAAAAATTGATTTGATCCCTACAAGCTCTCTTTCACATGCAAACTATTTATTATTTTCTTAATATAGAACTTTGTGTGATATTTTTTACCTATGTCCTGCATTTGAATTTTCAGATATTTATGACTTACAATCAGAAAATTTCTCAAAAGTATCAATCTCTTAAATGTAAGTACTATTTCTCCACAGCTCTTAGGGCAGTGTCTTAAATGTATTAAGTCCTTGAATATCTAATTTTATTTTTATGTTTAAATAGTATCTCTCAGCATAAAAAAATATATAACAAACTTGGGCAAAATTGCTTTCCTGCACTTCAGAGACCCTAACATGATGTCATTAATATTAATGGCTATGAACTTATTTGATTCTCTGGGAAGCAGACACTGAGAGCAAGTGAGGAATGCAGAAGGTTTATTAGGGAGTAATATCTAGGAGATCTGGGAGAAAAGAGAAGAATAAGAATTAAGTAGGAAGAGCTACCAGAAGATCTAACAAAGTCTCTGTCAGGCCAATGAGCAGATCCAGAGCAAAGACTCCCCACTAAAGGAGTCTCATGTTGGGTAGAAATGGCTTGTTCTTCATATTACACTGGCCCCAAGAAGAGCTTGCCTTCAGCTACCACTAGCTCAGTGACTAGCCTGGGGCCACCAATTAGAAGAACATGACCTCAACTCAAAAACTGAAGCAATCTTAAAGGAGATGACAGTTCCTTCCACAGATTGCTATTACCCCTTAATCCTTTTTCTATTACTCTGAAAGTACTCATCAGCATTTCCAAATTGTTTTACCTTTCACTGTAAGTGACTATCTTAATGCTAAATAAGCTAATTCAAAATTTCACCATAAACTTTAACAGTTATCTGATAGGTAAAGGTGAAGTATCATTTATTATTATGAGCAACAGCACAAGATTCAAAAAGCTATGCAAATCCACAATAGTAGGAATAAAATTTGATATAAAAATTGAAACACCAGGTGTCAATGGCTCCAAGAAGACAAAATTAGTCATTTTTAAAAAATGGAAAAATTTAACTAAAGATAGTAACTTAATTAAACGTTGAAAATTTGAAGGAAAGTAATAAAAATATATCACAGAGACTGAGCTCTTAGTATTATATTTAAAACACTATTTTTTATAAAAAAATTAAAATAGCTAAAACTACATAGCATTATATAGATAGGTAGGTAAATATAGACAAAATTTTATTTAAATTGAGAGCCTAGAAATGTAAAATTTTAAGACAGAATTTGAAAAATCATATTTGAATTCTTTTACTTTAAACCTAAATTTAAATAAAATTTCAACCATTTAAAATTCTTGAAAATACTTTTGTTATAATCCTTACCAGTATCACCAAAATATGCAATTCAAGCATACGTACCTAACACAGTTATGGTTGTAGAAGACTGGGCATTTCCGAGTGGGAATGTAACAGCTTTGCATATGTATTTTCCAGAATCAGAGAATCCTATGTTATGTAGAGTGACTGTTGCATCATGAAGTGAATAGTTTTTAAATGAGACTCTTCCTTGATATTCTCCTTGAACAGAAAATCCATATTGAGGATGATGAACTGCAACAGTCTGTGAACTTTTTCCATGTATCTTCTCCCATGAAATTTGTGTTATGGTTTCATTTACTTCAATTAAACACTTCAATGAAATATTCTTTCCCCATACTGCTGTGACATGTGGCTCCACAATAATTGGTCCAGCTAAGGCACCTATAAGGGAAAAAAATACTATAGTTCTTAAAATGGAAAAAAGTTATGCTAACACATGATGTCTCTCCCTCCCTTCCTCCCCGACACTGTAGGTATATCCATACACTCATACACACACACACACACACACACACACACGCACGCACGCGCGCACATTTATGATTAAATAACAAAAAGGACTGAAAATAGCCAGATGGTCTCTGGACTGGATGTAAGATATAAAGAGTGACCAACAAATAAATAAAATACCCGGCAATATCTGCTACAGTGGAAAAAGCAATAGACTGGGACAAAGAGTTGGCTTGGCAGGAGATTCTTCCCCAGTCAAGCCTTCCCATGAGATCCCAGCCCTGGCTGACACCATGACTGCAGCCTTGTGATACAAAACCTTTAAGCAGAAGACCCAGCTGAGCGATGCCTGGATTACTGACAACAGAAACTGAAATAATGGACGTTGTTCTAAGTTACTCAGTTTGTGGTAATTTTTTAAACAGAATAGATAACTATGCATGTTGGATCTTTCAAAACAAATACAGTAACAAAGTATCTTCTTTTGGAGGGTCCCTATATCAAAATCTCTATTTAAAAATAATTTAAGACAGAACAATTGCCAGAAAATATTAATGAAGAAATGCTTATATAAATGTGAAATCATTTTTTTTTCCATTTCAGGGTGAAGAAAAAAAAAACAACACATAAGCAAAAGTTAAAATAAGATCACATAAAACTATAAAACTTCCTCCATGTAATACTTATTTCCTTCCTAAAAGCAATGGAACAAAACTTTTATCATCTTGAGGGAAATAAGCCTAATATTCACGAATACTATAATTAGGCAAGATGCTGATCACTGGCAAATATATTAGAACATATATGAGATCTTCAAAAAGTTCATAGACAGATTCATGTCATCTTTTGATTCCATTTTTCCATAAACTTTTTGAAGTACTGTCATATAACAAATCTTTGGAGAGTTTACCACTCACACATGACACCCACCCCCCAAAAAAGAAGTAAACCAAAATAAGTATTCAAAAATGGAAATTGTACAGTATAAATAATAAGCAATACTTTTAATAGTTGAAGTCATGTCTAATATTCTTAAAGAATGCAAAAATGTAGAAGGACATCACAAGATAATCAAAAAATATGTTTACACATTCATTAAAATTGGCAAAACTCAAAGAGAGAATCTTAAAAGCTGAAAGAGAGAAGCGTCAAATCACCTATATGGGAGCCCCAATCAGGCTAACATCAGACTTTTCATCACAAACCCTAAAAGCCAGAAAGGAATGGGATGATATATTCAAAATACTAAAAGACAAAGATGCCAGCCAAGAATACTCTACCCTGCAAGGCTATCCTTCTGAAAAGAAGGGCAAATAGTATATTTCCCAGACAAACAAAAACTGTGGGAGTTCACCACCACACGACCACCCTTACAAGAAATTCTCAAGGGAGTACTGGGTTTGGTTCCTGAAAAATAACTACCAGTGCCATAAAAACCCAAGAAAAATCAAAACCGACTGGTATAATAAAAATGGCATTCATGAGAAAATAAACAAACAAAAAGGCTATCAACAACCTAAGGAACCAACAAATACAGAAAAAAAAAAAGTAAATCAGAAAGCAAGGAACAAAAGACACCTAAAA